GGACACTTAAAGGTTAAGGTTATTATATGTTGAGTATTTATGATTCCCAGTTACATGTTTTGAAACAGTTTTTGTGGGTGGGTGGGTGGGTGGGTGAAACAAATCTTTGCCAGAATTTACGAGCCTCTAAATTCAAAATTTGGGGGGACACCCCCTACCTGTGGCTTCCCCACCCGGAATCGAGTTTGTCTGGCCCCACCCAACCACACCTTTATTCTGCCACCTATATACTAATTAAGAGTCTATCATAATTTGCAACGTTAACTATAAATTTACAACTTTAAATATACTGTAGATAAAAATCCTTTGACCCCAGTCAGACACGTGATGCTTCGTAACATCCCTAATATGTGCAGTTCTAAGTTTCTTAAAATAAACCCTGACCTAAACAATTTTTCCCCGAAATGTTGCGAAAATGTTGGCATTAATCAAACGCTATTGAGGCAAAAATGCAATCTGAACAACATTTTTCACGAGCACAAAGGCCACTTTGCCACCGAAAAAAGAGCACTTTTGAGAACTTGGGGGGCCTTGGCCTCCCTGCCCCCCCCCCCCCGGTTCCTACGCCCCTGGAGGAGGATCAAGCTAGCTTATATATTGCTGTGTATTCGGTAAATAAATTTTAGAATAAGGAGGACCAGGGGTTGTTCGGTCGTTGGGGGGTGTATTTGCCAGGCTTGCCCGATTTAGGCACCGCCTGCCATGCAGGCATTGGGGGTGGGGTATTTTTACCGACACGAGCAAGAGAGAGAGGGAACATGATTTTTCCGGGTTATGGCAAGATGACAAAATATTGTTCAGTAAAAATTTGAATTACACCTCCCCACCTCCTCTGCTAAATTATGATCAGTCCCTTATAAACGAATAGAGGGAGCATGGCGGGGAAAATCGAGAGACAAATTGAAGCTTCCTAACACAGAATAAAGCAGATCCATACAGAAGGGCCACTTACGTTGGAAGCTTTGAAGTTTCAGTCGTCGCGCATGTCGCATTACGCATGTTGGCACTTGGCCGACATAGCCAGTCAGTGACATTTTCTGGCCAATAAACAAGCTATACTGGCTGGCTGCTACGCCTTCGATCTGGCCAGTAAACTGCATTTTTTTTGCATAAAAAGACGAGGAACCGTTGCACCGCTGAGTGGCCTAGTGCATAAAAGTGGCCTCTGTGGAATCCACAGGTGCATAAAAACGTGACATTAGTAAATGTTATGCATAAAGAAACTGTTTAAGAAGCTGCTTCAAATTCCCAAGAGCAGAAGTGACCAATTGTTTTTACACCAATCAAATCAATTTCTTACATATTTTTGCACGGTTGTTACAGATTTTTGCACTGCTGTTACAGAATTTAATTTTGCACGACTGCACTGGAATCAACCAATCACAGTTAAGTAATATTTTTATGTATATTGTTATTAATGATACATATCACTCAATAAATTGAATGACAGAGTTAAAAATATTAGGCTAAAAAGTTTAAATTGTACTAATTCAGTTCTACTTCTACTTTCTATAATGAATATTTTTGGGATATTTATCGTTGGGACAGTACAAATCGGTCCTGCATATCTATAATATTTATAACTTTGTGTATTAAATCCTTCAGTTTCCACTGGGCGAATGTGAAGCAGAACTGATCGCGGCGAATTTTTTCGCTGACCAATCACATTGCCAAGACTTGTTTTTTAAAAGTGTAATAAAATTATATAAGACAGTATAAACAGTCTATCTAGTTTTACTAAATTGTTTTGCTCATTTAATAAGGCTACTCTGCATGTGGGGAAAAACTACGCCGACCTCTTTGGTTGCACATTCTATTGTTCAAAGCGTTCGAATTTTTATTGTCGTTGGAACAGAGTTATATGGCTCATGAAGTATTGCGCTTACCTAATTATACATACTTATCAATTGTGATACTACTTTTATCCCCAGGGACTATCAGAGGGGGGAGGGGCAGCGGGGGCAATTTGTCCTGGGCCCCCAGTGTAAGGGGGGTCCCAAATTTGGAAAATAAAAAAAAATAATTTGGAACGTTTTTTGAAATAATTAATGGTTAGAAAAAAATTTCTGAAACATAAATTTCGCAGATATTGGCACCAAAAAAGGGTTTTACCAATGTAATTTAACAAGAAGTTGTCTGGAAAAAATTTTTGGCCTTAACTTACTGATTTTATCCGAAAAAAATTTTTAACCTTTAAATTAACTGATGTTAGTCCGGAAAATGTTTTGAACATTTAACTTAAATGATGCTAGTACGGAAAGATTTTTTTGACCTTTTTTAATCCGGAAAAAAATTTACCCCCCTACCTTCGCCAACATTTTTTGGAAAAAATAAGGGCACCGAAAAAATTTTTGCCCCGGGCCCCCGAATTTCTCTGATAGGCCCTGTTTATCCTAACCCACATTGTCTATTTCTCGGTTGGAAGCGATATCGTAGCAGCAGGAGAAAACCCACGACTTCGACACAGCGTTGAACGACTCTCTCCTCATGATTCACATGAGGCTCATAATCTTATAGTTGAAAGGCGCTTGCTCTGACGACGGCAGGATACGGTAACGGTATATAGGAGTTGTCGATGTCAAAATCTGAACATCCCTATGCGCATTTATTGGTAGCAATTCTCCTGGAATTTTTAATAATAAATTTCCAAGAGTTTGGTTCATCTTTTCCTCCTTCCAACAGGGCGTCTCTCAAGTTTGTGGGCGAAACTTTCTCGGCATATCGGACAGCAAGTTCTGGATAAAAGGGGAGAAGAAAAAACACATTTTATGTAGAAACCCCAATATAAATTTCTTTATTTTGATAAATTTCTGATGGTCTGAAAATTATGAAAGATATGTCATGCATGTATTGTATTCGAGTTCTTGCACTAGCATATATTCACCTCCTTTCGCTATACTTGTTGCAAACAATCCCAAAGAATATTATGAGTATAATGGGGCCAGAGTGCTCAAACGACAACAAAGGGAAGTAAGCTTTGCATTATATATTGCTAATAGACACCCACTGAACAACTCCGCAGAGTGCTCAACAACACCGAGGTGAAGGAGCGTAATAGTACAATCTGCAGACATGCAATATGCATGTTTCGGCGTTCAACGCCTCGTCAGTGCAGCTTGGTACACGTCTAGATACATGATACATTCGTATTTCAGTATAAATTAACATGTGCGTGCTCTCACCAAGCGCATGGTACAACACGAAGGTGTCGACACATACATACATATACACATGTATACATATATATATATATATATATATATATATATATATATATATATATATATATATATATATATATATATATATATATATATATATATATATTAAGATTTTGGTTTACGAAACTATAAACTATAAAACTATATATATATATATATATATATATATATATATATATATATATATATATATATATATATATATATATATATATATATATATATATATATACATACTGTATTACGGTTGAATATTTTGTGTAGTGGGTGATCTGCGTGGAATTCCCGTAATACAGTCAGCTACAGTTGTATATGCCAAACATTAGGCAGACTAGATACGCGATGCATTCGTATTTATATCATTGCAAGGCATGTGGTACAACACGACGACATGAACGCATCCACACATGCGCAGAGTGTAATGGGGTGCCAATTGCCAAAGACTTGTTAATGTTGTAGTATCAGAGTACTCAGACAACCAGAGTGCTCAAACAACCACAAAGAAAGTGATCTTTGCATTGTATCACTAATAGACACCCATTAACAACTCCGCAGAGTGCTCAACAACACGGAAGTGAAGCAGCGTAATAGTACAATCTGCAGACATGCATGTTTCGGCGTTCTGCGCCTCGTCAGTGCACCTTGGTAGAAATCTAGATACTCCATGTATTCGTACTTATACCGCATGGGCTTGGAATGCTTAAGGTAATCAGATGACTAAACTTCAGTCCACTTGAGTTTGGTGGTAAACAGCACTACTTTCTAATATACCGGGTACCTCCATTGATTGGAGAAAAGTGTCGTGTGGAATTTACGAATGCAAATATTTTAAACAATAAATGGACTTACATTCCGTTCCGAATCATCCGATTAGCGCATTCTTTGTGAACCTTGTGGGAACATGGTAGAATTTGGCAGCCTGTAAATGCGTCCTGAAGAAATTCAAAACAAATTAGAATGCATTTCCCAAGGACACTCAAGGGACTACTGGTTTAAACTGACCTAACAAGTTACCATTAACAAGTCTTTTCGAGCGAGGACAAATCGTCTAGAAGTTAGCGAATAGGAACGAGAGACTTTAAAATGTCGAAGTTCTTGTAAATATATTTACATGCATGAGTTTGATCCTGTAATCCTTCAAGTATCCGAATTAGGTATTCAAGTATTAGATTATGCTTTCACCTCCAAACAGATGCCACATTCATCATGGGCTGAATCAGGACGACATTTATGATTTCCACGAAGTTGAACATCAAGACAAATACCGCATACATCACAATGAAACGAGCGATCTCCATGAATCCTAGAAATTAAACGTACTGTATCTCAATCAATCTGATAAGATAAAGGCTGTATAGTTGAAATAATCGAAAATTTCCCTAACGATGTTTAATTTTATGTCAGACAAATTCTCACCTGCAAATGCCACATTTATCGCAATGATAGGGGTGATCATCATTTCCAGTAAGATGTTTGCACAGTCCACAGTAGAAATTAGCGAATTGAGTGTTACACGAAACACAAAATTGACCATTTTCACCAAACTATAGAAAGAAAAAAATGTAGAATAGCTATGAAATTGTCGTCTAAGAGTTTAAATTAAAATATTATTCTCCAACACTGAAATATAGTAGACCATTTTAGCTGAACGACAGAATGAAATCGAAAAATAATAGATTACTAATAAATACATATTTCTTAACAATAAAATTTACCAGATACCAGGAATTATTTTCCTAACATAGACGAATTCAATCCTAGCAACATGATTTCTCACTACTGTTTTCAGTTGAAGCAAGGAAAGAGTCTGTTATTTTTAAAATTGTCGATGCTGACATAATATCGTCTTCTTTTTTCTTTCAACCACTTTTCAATAAAAGTTAAAAATTCATGCTATTTATTGAAAAGCTTAGTTTTGAATCTAAAAAGATAAAACGTTTCAATATGGCGTAAAAACGGAAGAATTTTATACTGCATATATTTTTAGATTTTTAGGTTTTCACGTTTTCAAATAAATCTCACGGAATTTTAACGTTTCATTAAAAGTGTATTGAAAAAGAAAAGAAGGTACATTATGTCTACATCGCAATTTAAATCCTACATTTCCCTTGATTCAATGATCTCTCTGTAGAGAGCTGTACTGAAAGAATCACAAAGATGTGCAGACAACTTTAACATCTTTTAGGATACCTGTTGTTCTTTCCCGCATTCGACACATTTGACCATCGTCGTGTCACGTGACTTTAGTTTCTTCCGCCCACACGTGCTCTCGTTGTTATGACAACGGTGGCATGGCCAGTATTTGCTGCAGCAATCAAATTTCACCAAGCATCTTCTTTTGTAATGATTGCATAGCCAATTGTCTTGTATATCGCCGTTCCTCGGCCCATGAAAGTGGTCATCCCGATGGCGTTGAGAAGGACCATTGCATTGTGCAGGACGATTCTGGGCGTCATGAGATGACGGTTGCCTCGATTTTGGGCGTTTTTGAGATGAAGGCTGTCCTGAGTTTGACGTCTTCCTTCGGTTGATTTCACTTGTAGTAACTGGAGCATCATTTGAGCTTACCCTGTTCTCGTTTCCTTGGTTTCCTTGGTTAAATTAATAAATGCCATTTAATTAATATTTATTAATTTGTTGATTGTTTATTCTCTGTTCATGTTCTTTCAGGAATAGAAGAAAGGTGGGATAAAAGTGGTAATATAAATTCATTAGAATACGAGGTGGAGGTGGGCGGAGGGGGGGGGGGGGGGAGGGGCTAGCTTTCCTTCCAGTAGAAAAGAAGTTGGACAAATTAGATAATAGTCGAAAATGTGTATTCTTGATGGTAGCACATATTTCGGAAATAATGTATCAGAAAAAAGTATTGATTTGATTTAATAAAAATGTTTAAATTAAATAATGGAATAATGGAATAATTTGTTTACCAACCTCTTGTATTATTAATTGCAGGACCCTCAGGAACATCTTCTGAATTTTCATACGTTGAAAATCTATTGCCACTTACAATAGAACTGTTAGTGCTGACAACATTTGCGTGAGCATTTTCCGTGCGTTGGCGATTCCTGGCAATGGTTACGCCATTGTTCTTGACAGCTATACTAGGTCGTTCAGATACTTGAACATTGCCTATATCCCGGTTAACGGTGTTGGTTCTTAGTGGATATCTGGGTGTGTTATTATGCGGTAGAAGAACTCTAGATGAGTGCTCTCGATTTAAATTGGCCACTCGTTCGCGACTATTGTTTATCGACTTATGTTGATTGATCAACTTTCTCAACTTATCGTAGTCACCATTATAAAATTCATCAATAAGGTACACTAGATCAAATCTTGTGATTGACTCGAAGAATACACGGAGCTGACCTAAATCCGATGCATTTATAGCACCTTTCTGGTCCAATTGTAAAATTAGTTTAGCTGGACTTAGATTACTCTCGACTGAGAATTTTTCCTTTGCCCATTCTTTAAGTTTGATAATATCACTGTATAGCAACCTACCAGATATCGTTAATAATAACAGTTTGTAAGCGTTGTAGACATGGCCACTAACTGAAGAAGAAGTCTCATTTATGAGACCCAAGGACTCTGCATTACTTCTTTCGTGTACCTCGGTGGGGAATGGCGTTGAATCAGTTGAAACATCAATGCTTTCATTTAAGGCAATCGAAACATTTTTCTGTCTTACATGACTGCCTTGATTCTGACATGCACTTAACTCCACCGACTCTTCACTTGATCCTACAGATTGCTCTCCTGATGGATGCGGCAAAGATAAAGCAGGCAACGGTTTCTTTTCACCCTCAGATTGAACAATGATAGGCTGAACGTCAGAATTTCTGGTTGACCTGCAAGAGTTAAAATCAGACGAAAGATTGCCTTCCATATTATAAACTAACGATTCCGATTGTTTTGGGGGAAATAATTTCTGAAGTTTCTCGTTTCCTTTCGCTTTGTTTGTTTTGGAATCGTTCTCAATAGAAAGTCGTTCAAACTCAAGTAGTTTGTCTTCGTAATCTTTCTCCAACTTTCCATGCCTTTCTTTCAACTGCTGTAGTTTGTTTTCCAATGCTAGTTTCTCTTCGATACGTGTTCTATTCTCTATTTTAAGCCTTTCACATTCGATAATCATTTCTTTTATCAACTCATCCTTTTCGCGTAATTGCTGTTGTAGCTCGTCATTTTCCTCCCCTAGCACTTGATTGTTATTCTTAACCTTATTAATAAGCCTTTCACAATGTTCTTCAAACATCATATCTATGTGCAAAGTTTGTGTCTGAATCCAAAGGAAACTTGTTCCAACATACACTGTTCCAGTAATATGAATTTCCATGATATGATAAACCTAAATAATAGAAACACAACGGTAATTTAATACAGAAACTGCAAGATCCGTTTAAGCAGCTGCCATTCAGTACGTGAAATCATAGTGCTTATATATATACATGCACGTGAGCTTGCTCGCATCAAGCGCATCTAGCGGAAGTGTAACCTGAGTGTAACTTAACACTTGCCCGCTTGCCCGGGGCAAATGAATATCATGACGGGCATGCAAGTAAACGTTTTATCTTGCTTGCCCGATTGGGCAATATATTAACTGGTACCATTACCAGTTAATAAATTGAATAACTACCAATGTATTTCTTTGTTGGAAAACTGCGTTTATTCACTCCACTCTCCTCATACGTGTCTGAGATATCAGACACGCTTTCGCCCAATATGCCCTGTTTGCCGGAATGAAATAGATCGTTTGTAAGAACAAAAAAACTTCTAAGATTGATACCCTCTCAAGAGTGATGTAGTTATTCGACTACTTTGGACATTAATATTTGCCCAATAGATCATATAAAACAGGATCTTTTGGTTTTGAAAAAAACACACGCTGTAATATGCCGTGGCTACGAGAAGATGTATATGTCCAGTATAAGTTTGACTACGTGTGTCAAATAAGTGCATGCGATCGAGTATATGCAAATATAGCAAGCAATGAATAAAATTTACATGGAAGAGTTTATTTTAGTTCGGGGTACTTTATAACCCGTTAAGCGGCAATGCCCCAGATGCGCCATATTTTACTCTGTCCATTACACCAGACGATATTCAGTTACTCGTCGAAGGCTTAGGGAGAGTACTCCCACTCAGTGGGCTAAAATACAAATTGAGCGGGATAAAAAAGTTGAGTGTATTAAATTGTTGCGATTAAAATTAAACACCATAATGGACTGTCTTGGGTTTTTCCCAATTTGGTTTGTCTTATTGTCGGCACCGGGTTCTTGGCAGAGCAATGTGAAGAGAATTATAGAGTGCCATTTAAATACAAAATTTATTAGAAAGCAAGAAAGGGTAGACCGACAATGAAGTGCAAAAGATTAAGCCAACAAGAGACAACGAGACAAGAAAGGTAGACACATTTTTAGTAATTATAATAAATATGCGTGGTACCGGTGTTTTCCGCACATATATGCATGAGCGTATAGGTAAAAGATTTGCGGTTGCGCTGATAATGTTAATTAGGAAAGGTGTAGTTTCTTTTTAGGTGTGCACGCACGCAATTTGCACGTTATACGTAAGTTGAGCCTGCTCTTTTATTACCAAGCTATATCAAGGCAACAATAAATGGCGCTGTGTTCGTATATGCCCGTATATAAATTACTGATGCATGTGTTCGATAATTAAGCCTGATATCAACCTGGGGCCATGTTGTTCGAAAGCCGAATACCCTAACCTTATTATAAGTTATTAATAATCTAAAATTAATTCAAAGCAAACTTCCCTACAGCTTGTTTATAAATTTAGAAATATTTTTCAAAAATCTTGTCTGGATCAATAAGTTTTCTTCTCTGAAGTTCTGAGATAAACAGACGTGCAGAAATACATATTAACTAAAATAGCAGGTTAAATTTTAACGGAGAGTTAACTTAGCGCTAATCCAGGTTTGAACAACCGGTCTCTGGTTGCGGTGAACGAGTTAACTTTAATTAAATTTTTAAGATACAAAAGAACCAAATTTACGGTATATTCCATCCTTTTTCCTTCTTTGTCTATAAAATTTGGCTCACTAACCCACCTGTTTATCACTAATGTTCGCCATTATGGTGCGGCGAACTACATAGTGTTGGGCAAAAATGATAAAAAGCAACTTTTCCAACCAGCGAATCCAATTTGCCGCCAATATTAAGAGCGGAATGTATTCCAGATAATCAACATAATTCAATTGGAGAGCTGAATTGGTTGCTGGAAATTGAAACATTTTCCCCTTATTTGTTGAATTACCTAGAAAAAAGAAAGTGATTTAAACTGAGCTCCTGGCCAGTTGTGCAGATTTACAACTGCTTAGGGGGTTGGGTTCTCCTTTCGGTGACCAAGAAACTTTGACGTATACATCCTCTTAGTTTTGAGCTTTCCTATATAGTTGAGATACTGTAAGTTAATATGGGCTAACAAAAACTATCTGCCAGTGTCTCTTGTTTCATGACTTTCATCCATCACTAGTATTTCGCTCTGTCTATAACCCCAGGGGATAGCTTGTTAGTGAAAACATAAGCTGTTAATTAATGAGGGTTGTGCATGTAGTTGTTCCCAAAACTATTTTTGTGGGTTTTTTTCTATAAAAGGAAGGAGACACAGCCTTGACTACCTGGCTACAAATGACGCCCGCTGACATACTGTATCGGGATGATCATGGCATGGATCTATTGGCAACATTCGAGAATAGCGAAACTGTAAAAACCATCATTTACTTCCTACTGTACCTGCTCGACTTAGAATACCCATCCAGACTCGGCAGTCTGACATGGTAAAGGCTTTTCAAGAAATTGAACAATATTGCTACATGTGAGAACTTTTACATTTATCTATCAGTAATTACTTTAAAGAGGCTGTCAAGTCCGTTCTGCTCATGTGCGTGTTTTGATTACATTTTTTGTGATAATGTAATTAAAATTCCGATCTGTGGGTCGCCAAGTTAGCTCATTACGCATTCAGAATATATCACGAAGGAGAAATTGAACTATTGAAGCAAAAATTTAGCCCCAAAACAACAAATTTTAAATCGAAAACGCTAAGAAGCACTTCTTACAGAGGTATGGACAAAATTGGATTGAAATTTGTACACATTCAGCTCCAAAATGACAAATTCAAGATTGAAAATGTTAAGAAACACATCTTTATAATTTTCAATCTTAAATTTTCAATCTTAAATTTGTCATTTTGGAACAAAATGTGTACAAATTTCAATCAAATTTTGTCCATACCTCTGTAAGAAGTGGTTCTTAGCGTTTTCGATCTAAACTTTGTTGTTTTGGGGCTAAATTTTTGCTTCAGTAGTTCAATTTCTCCTTGATGAGCTAACTTGGAGACCCACAGATCGGATTTTAATTAAATTATCACAAAAAATGTAACAGAACACGCGGACTTGACAGCCTCTTTAATAACCTATTCATGTATAGCTGGTAAATATATTATTTTAATTAAACGTTCTTAATTGTTTTTATATTGTAGGATGACAAGTGACGACAGCAAAAAATCATGCCAAGATTATTATTCTAGTTTCATATTGTCATTCAAGAAAAATATTCTTAAAAGCCATGCACACCGGATCGAACTAGAATAATTTTCTTGGTAGGATTTCAATTCAAGATAATTTTTCTAATTTTGTCCCATGGGTAAGTAAAATTTTCTTATTAAGATTATTTTTCTTATTTCAAGAATACGTTCTAGCAAAATTTTCTAATTACTAGAAAATAATTCTTAAGAAAATTTTGCTATAGAACGTTTTCTTGAAATAAGCCAAATATTCTTGATAAGAAAATTTTACTTACCCACGGGACAAAATTAGAAAAAAATTCTTACCAAGAATTTTGTTCTAACCAAGATTAATTTTCTTATTTTAAGAAAAATTTTCTTGAAATCTGATTCTTACCTAGAATATTTTACTTACCCATGGGACAAGTAAAATTTTCTTAAAACATTAAGTAATTTTGTGCTTAAAATAAGTAATTTTTCTTAAAACAAGAAATTGATTTTTTGGACACGACCAGTCAATCATGCACTTTATATCAAATTTACCTTTCTTCTTTCGTTTATCGTGCACGTACTCCATTGTGAATTGAGCTGAAAATATATATAATGAGAGTTTAGAAATGAATTCGAAATTTACAATTTATTAGCAAAGTGACTGCGCGCAAATTCATTGCGCGAATTAAGCCCCATGCCAGGGTACCAACGTTCGTCTACTGGTCACGAGAGCAATAAAGAATACAAACGTACAATGCAGTGTGGCATATACAAGTTCGTGCATCAGTGGTAGAACAACTGAAATTAAAACCTTACTTCAGGGGAGTATTGAGAGTCAAAACACGACGAAATCCCAGCATAAGCAAACAAGGGATTTGCCATATATATGAAGTTGGGCAAAGATATAAATAGATAGCCCAGGGGAAGCTGACAGCGAAAAGTTCCTAACAATTATAGGCGACTTGAGAGGAGGACGATTGTTTTAAAATCAGTGAGTTAATAAGACTTGTCACAAGTATAGCTATGATTCATCAAGAATTCGACAAATTCAGTTGGCTAATTTTATTCGGACAAGATCAAATGATTTTAATATCGTTCTATTTTTTTTTAGTCGCCCTATTGGTTCCGAGTGCGACGTGTTCCAATTTTGAAGTCACTGACTTATCTCGACCAATCAAAATTTATGCTAGCGCTGGGACAACCTCGTTCCCAGGGTATTTGCTCTTGGGAAGCAAAGCATGACGAGCCGCACGTTTTGAAAACCAGCGAGATTTGCAAACTGAGTTTGCATTTTTCAGGAAGCGGGTGCAGCTTACCCACCAACAATTAACGCTATGCGATGTCATCAATCCAGGAGAAATTGCTCAAACACAGTGTGAGATCAAACATGTAATAAGTTTAATTTCAGTTCGAATATTAACCTACATATGTCATATGATATTTTAGGTACAGTTTCGTTCAAATAAATGGCTTGATTGTTGACAGTTGACTACAGGATACCGCTAGATACCGCTCCAGGTGTAGCTAATTCACAATGCTATTTTGGCTTAGATGCGCCAAAAGATGCTTCTGGTTTAGATGCGCAATGCGTTCTTTATAGGTATATGGTATAAATGTCTCCTTACTAGTTTGTTTTCTCTTACGGATTGCAATAGGCCTACATTGGAAAAAGGTCGCGCAAGGAGCGGAAAATAGATTATATAATTATACAAGATAATTTATTTTGAAAGGCTATTTATTTGCGTTACGTATTTTGCTCCATAATTTTCAAGGCATAATTGTAATACAGACTCTCAATAGCTTCCACTGGTTAAGAAAAATGAAGCGTCTTCACATTAGAAGGACTCTTAAAAGGAGCAAAGGCTGTATTTTGTGTTGCGCGCGCCGTGATTTATAGTGCAACATACTAATATTTAGTGTATGCAAGGAATAACAATCCTGGTCCACGTCAAGCGGTCTCGTGTTTAACGAAGGAAAATGCAAAAGTATTAGCATTACCAGACGTAGTCAACCAATCCATCATCTATATAGCATCAAAGGCAAAGAACTTGCACTTATACCAGCAGAGAACGATCTGGAAATTTGGATTGCGAGCGATCTAACCTGGTCTAAACACATTTTAGACCGGTGTACCCGGGCCAACAAACTCCTTGGATTTGTAAAGCGATGTTCTGGGGAAATAAGCGACGCGAGGACCCGCCGGACTCTGTATCTGTCTTTGGTTCGGTCGGTTTTTGGTTACTCGAGCCAGGTTTGGTCGCCTCAAACCGTGACCCTCATCCAACGTATGGAACGGGTCCAAAGAAGAGCAACGAAGTACATTTTAAACCTTCCGTACTTGTGCAGTGAGACTTATCGGGAACGACTTGCCAGTTTGGGCCTCTTACCGCTATCTTACTGGCATGAATACTTGGATCTCGTGTTCTTTTTCAAAGCGGTGAACGGCTTGGTCGACGTGTCCCATGACGTCCTCCCCGAAGTCATGTCCCAAACCAGAACGACCAGATCCTCCAGTGGCAACCAAATCTCCTTCCGTCCGGCCAAATGCAAAACCTCTACCTACCAACGCTCCTTCTTTATTCGTGCATCCAGAACCTGGAACTCTTTACCAACTACACTAAGATCTCCTGACATTAATATTAGGCAATTCAAAACCGATTTACAAACTTACTACCTGACAGCTCTGAGAGAATGCTTCGACGAAGAAGATCCGAGGACATGGAAGACTATATGTCTGAAGTGTAACACTAGTCGTTACTTACGTTCTGAACTAACTTGTTGTTTTTAGTCTCCTGTCCATGTACTGTATGTTAGATATTCTGTACTGTATGTGTATTTTTGTATAGGGCCCACAGTAATTGGTTTACACTGTTGTGGTGTCCCTGCCAATCTTGTCCATGTTTATTGTCTAGATGTCTATTTGCTGTTTTGTTAAGTGTTTTTGGCAAAGTTTAATAAATAAATAAATAAATAAATAAATAAATAAATAACACAGACTCCTATTTAGCTTCCACTGGTTAAGAAAAGATGGAGCATCTTCATAACCTGCCAGCAAAAGATGGCACATCTTTCTGGCACAGGAGTTTCCACTAAAAGGACTCTTAATTATTCCGGCAGAGGCAGAGGCAAAGCCAAAGGCAATATTTTGCGTTGCGCCGTGTTTTATAGTATAATATACTGTATACCAACCATTGAACTAAAATATATGGAACGCTACCTTAACTGAACATGCCCAGACTTGCCTGAAGCCAAATTTTACCTCCAGACACGCGTGTCTGGAGGTAAAATTCACGCGCGTTGTCGCATTTCCTGCGTGGCGCCGAAGAACAGCGACAGCCAACCAACATGCATTTATAGCAACATGTGATTGAAAAGGTTTTGATTTTTGAAAAGGAAGGCACTTCTCTTGTTATGGAGCTAATCGGTTAAATTGTCATTCAATACAGCATGAATCATAACTTTTCATACGTGTATTCGATCGGTAAATCGGGGAAATGAAACATTTTTTCGTTCAAATTGAATGTGTACACAAACGACATGGATTCAGAGATTCAGAGTGGCATTGTAAAGTTGTAAACACGTAAGTGCCTTTACTAAATTTATTAAATATGCATGAAGCTCAATCGCATCTGCAACAGAGTAACTGAAATTGTATGTGATTTGAGGACAGTTTGTTTGCCAGGTTCAATCCTTCTTGTTCTTGAATATTCTGAAGCTCTTCGATATGTTTCCATCTTATGATGTTGCCATCTCCATCAATGGGCCATTCCATTTATTAAATATAGCCGGGCACCCCCCTATTGAGGGGTCCCTTCCAAATCCCCTTAGGATATAAACATTTTAGAACCCCCTTGGATGTGATTTTTGGAAGTTACCCCATGGATATCTTGATACCCCCTTTAGGATATCGTTTTTGCCCCCTTGGATATCACTAAAACACCTAATTTTTGCTATTTTTTGGAAACATTTTAGGTAAAAACCCCCTCCCCCATAGGATATCCAGACCCCTCAATAGGGGGGTGCCTATATTAAATGGAATGGCCCATTATAAAGGATCCCATGGACAGGGTCGAGTATCACAAAAACATCTTTGGTTGTTGGATTCTTAAAAGTTACCAGAAAATTTGCAACCCAGTGTTTTGAATGTACTAATGTTAACATCTGTGCCATCAGCTGTTACTGACCACATTTTTAGATTAGCATTTGCAACTTTTTCAAGACACTTTTTACCAGTGTGGCTTAGTCCTTTGCATTCATTTTATCAGCCAAGAGGTATCCCACTGAACATTTACAATGCAGGACTTCTGGTGCCTACCAGAAGAAAAACCAAAGCTTCTGTGGCCAATTTTTCTAAATGTCCATTAGGAATCTCATTTCCAAAGTCTACAAATCCGTAGGAGTCTTTTTCTGGATTCCAAATGGTTTGTTTTCGGATAGACATTGCGTCTATTACCAAACAGTAATCTTTGTCAGTATTTGATTGGGCTCGGCTCGGCTGATAATGCTTACCTCAACCTTCTGAGAAAGGGATGAGAATGCCTCATCAATAAAGCCTGGATGTAATTTTGTGTAATTCATCACTTGAGGCACATCTTGGTCTTTTTTTCTGAAATTGAAGGATCATTTTCATGTGCTGGACATGGTCTCACGGTCTGTTCTTCTGTTTAATTCCTCGTCATGTGCTGTTAATGTTGGTGGGTCAGAATGTACAGGTGAACCAGATGGAAAAGCGTATTTTTTTAGTCGACATGTGTTGTTGGATGAAGGAGGCAAGATGTAATCAGTTGATTGGAATTGCTTGCTGCCTATACGACTGTCCTGGTTGACTTGCCATGGCTTTTTATTTACTTTTTTGAACATAATTCTCCCAACATATTTGTAAAGCATTATTTTTCAAAGGAAATCCATAACAATAATAATAATTTTTATGTAAATTCAGCTTAATTATCACCCTTCTATCTGTCTGCTTGTCTTATTTATTCTTGTGTTTGTTTTTTTTGTTGTAGGTGATGTACACATGTCAAAAGTCAAAATGTGTAAAATAGGCTTGTTTTTGTTATATTTTCTTTGAAGTATCTAATATCACAGGTTTATGTGTTTTTTTTGGGTTTTTTTTTCTGTGTTGGTGTTGTGTACTCAGGTGAATATGATATTTGTGATGTTACTCTGAGTGTATATCCACACCGGGCGAGCTTGAAAAATATGCCCGGCCACAGAGGGATTTGAACCTACGACCTTTGGAATACTAGCCCAATGCTCTTCCAACTGAGCTACGCGGTCAGGAGGTTCGAGTAAGTGATATTTAGGAACTGAATCTAGTTCCTTCGATACCAATGTATTCTAGTAATATGATTTTTTTTTGGCTAGTATTCCAAAGGTCGTAGGTTCGAATCCCACCATGGCCGGGCATATTTTTCAAGCTCGCCCGGTGTGGATATACACTCAGAGTAACATCACAAATATCAGGTTTATGTTTGTTTTTTTTGTGTATAATTAAGCCCAAACTAAGAAATATTGTTGCAGAAACATTAGTGATTCTCAATGTTTCCTCAAATGTTTTCCCATTTGCCCACCTGTGGAAACATT